CCGACATCGGAGTGACAAATCCTAATCTCGAAATACGCCAACCCAACAAGTACCTTCGGAGACACCTGTAGAGCACCTTTATAATCACCCAGTTACGTTGTGACATTTGGTGGCACACAAAGTGTTCCTCCGGTAAACGGGAGTTGCATAATCTCATAGTCATAGGAACATGTATAAGTCATGAAGAAAGCAATAGCAACAAACTAAACGATCAAGTGCTATGCTAACGGAATGGGTCAAGTCAATCACATCATTCTCCTAATGATGTGATCCCGTTAATCAAATGACAACTCATGTCTATGGTTAGGAAACATAACCATCTTTGATCAACGAGCTAGTCAAGTAGAGGCATAATAGTGACACTCTGTTGGTCTATGTATTCACACATGTATTATGTTTCCGGTTAATACAATTCTAGCATGAATAATAAACATTTATCATGATATAAGGAAATAAATAATAGCTTTATTATTGCCTCTAGGGCATATTTCCTTCACCCAGTTATGGACAAATCTTGAGTATCTAGTACTTGGAGTATCCTAAGTATCTCATCACTATTAATTAATATTGTTGGGTTGATTATTACTTTAATTGGGATTGAGTTGGAGGAACCTTCTCAATGATGTTTCAACTACCATGATAGTTAAATAAAATTTATTCCTTTGTTGTAGGAAAAAATTGGCTTTTCACAAAAACTATAACCGCTTTCCACCAACCAAATATGCATGTAGTGATAGCATTATTCTGTTCTTGCTCTACTGTGTTATATTGCCAGCATATTCCATGTGTTGACCCGTTTTCGGGCTGCAACGTATTATGTTGCAGACTTTTCAGACGAGGAGTAAGGTTCGTTAGGTCGTTGTCGTGCAGCTCAGCTATGCCGTTGGAGTTGATGGACTCACTTTATCTTCCAAGCCTTCCGTTGTTTTCGTATTAGATGGCCCTAAGCCATATTTATTGTAATAAGTTCTCTTTTGAGACATTCGATGTAATAAGTGTGTGATTGCTACTCTGTTATAAATCCTTCGAGTACTGTGTGTGTCAGCATTAGCGATCCAGGGATGACACTGAAGCACAGAGACTTGACCATTTGAGGTCGGGTTGCTACACCTCAAAAGCTTTGCTCAAAGACCGGCTGATGGCACTAAAGGTGGCATCCTGTTATTATGGGACAATGAAGCCGTTACCGTCACCAATGTACAAACTAGGGCTTACTTCCTCTCCGCGACTGTGAATCTCAACAACTCCACTGATAACAAAACTTTCAAGCTAACTACAGTCTATGGCCCCACTCGCAGCAACCATAAGGAGGCTTTCTTCCAGGAACTCACCTCGCAAAAGCCAGCCTCGGGGACCAAATGGCTGGTCAACGGAGACTTTAATCAAATATACTGGGCTAGAGACAAGAATCGTACGAATGTGGACCGAAGCCGGCTCGTGTGTTTCCGAAACACCTTAAACGATTGCTAGCTCAAGGAGATTCACCTTAAAAATAGAAGATTCACTTGGAGTAATGAACAAAATGATCCGACTTTGAGCAAGCTTGACAGTTTCTTTTGCAATGAAGATTGGGACGTCAATTTCTCTACTCACATTCTTCATGCCCTCTCATCGTCGCTATCCGACCACTGCCCTCTTTTACTTGCTAACGATGATGGGTCCAGGAGACCAAAGTCCATCCGCTTCGAAAACTACTAGATCAAAATGCCATGCTTCCATAAGGTGGTGAGCGACGCTTGGAGTGAGGAATCAAGGCATGACGAGCCCTACCAAAGGCTCATCCACAAGCTCAAGAAGACAAGCCAGAAATTGCGCAAATGGAGCAACACCCTTTTTGCCAACTCCAAGGTCCAGCTCCACATGGCCCTTGAAGTCGTCCTCCACTTTGACTTAGCGCAAGAGGAGAGATCTCTCAGTCCTGAAGAAAGTGACATCCGCAAAAGGATTAAGAGAAAGATTATTAGCTTAGCCATGGAGAAGGCTAGGAAGCGTCAAAATTCTAGAATCACTAACCTCAAGGAAGGAGATGCCAACACTCGTTACTTCCATCTGCATGTCAACCAGAGAAGGAGAAAAAATTTCATTCATCGCCTCAAGCACAACAACGGTTGGGTCACTGAGCATGAGCACAAGAAAAAATTATCCACAACCACTTCAAGAACATTGCAAAAAAATGCCCTTCAAGTGACATCAGCATCAATTGGGGGAGCATTCCTACGCCGAATTGTGACCTTCATGAGTTGGGAGAGGCCTTCATCGAAGAGGAAGCAAAGAGAGTTGTGTTTTCCATGCCAAGCGACAAGGCACCGGGTCCTGATGGATTCACATGTACCTTTCTCAAGGCATGTTGGGACACCATCAAGCCAGATATCATGCTTGCCATCAACCATTTCTTTGATCTCCATGCTGCTCACTTTCATTGGTTGAACTCCACCGACATTGCTCTCATTCTGAAGAAGGAGGGTGCCCAGGACATCGCCGACTTCCGACCCATCAGTCTTATCCATGCCATCGCTAAGTTAATTGCCAAGATGATGTCCAACCGGCTTGCCCCGCACATGAATGATCTTGTCTCGCACGCCTAAAGTGCGTTCATTAAAAGAAGATGCATCCACGACAACTTCATGTATGTGCTCAACCTCGCGAGATGCTTCCACCGTAGGAAAACCCCGGCATTGCTCTTCAAACTTGACATCAAAAAATCCTTCGACTCGATGCGGTGGGACTTCCTCCTCGACCTGCTTCGACACCTTGGTTTCCCGCCCCGCTTCAGAGGTTGGGTTTCCACACTATTGACCTCGGCTTCGTCGCGTGTTCTTCTCAATGGCGTGCCCGGCGACCCCATCAAGCTTGGCCGTGGGTTAAGGCAAGGGGACCCTCTATCACCCTTGTTATTTGTGCTTGCCATCGACCCGCTACACCATATCCTTGCGAAGAGCACAACTTAGGGAAATCCTCATCCGCTAGGTGGAAATGCTATGCATATCCGTGCTTCGCTTTACACGGATGACGCCGCTGTTTTTCTTGCGCTTATTAAGGAGGACGTCCAGTTTCTCGCCAACACTCTCAAGCACTTTGGGGAAGTCACCGGTCTGGTCACAAACTGTTCCAAAAGCTTTGTTGCCCCAATCCATTGCGAAAATGTGGATCTCCCGGATATCCTCCAATCCTTCCCGGCCATGCGATGCTCCTTTCCGATGAAATACCTTGGGTTGCCTTTGTCTGTCAAGAGACTGAAGAGAATTCACTACCAGCCCCTTGAGGACAAGGTTGCGGGCCAACTCACTCCTTGGGTGGGGAGGCATGTTGCCTCAGCGGGTCGCGTTGTCTTGGTAAAGTCGGTTCTCACAGCAATTGCGGTCTACTACATGACGGCGTTAGATTTACCGGTGGAGGTCAAGAAGAAAATTGATGCCCTCAGATGTGCTTTCCTTTGGGCAGGTTGTGATAAGGTCACTGGTGGAAAATGCAAGATAAATTGAGAGTAAGTGTGCAAGTCCAAGATGCATGGAGGTCTTGGAATCCTAAACCTTGACAAATTTGCCACTACCCTTTGCCTTCGGTGGCTGTGGGACGAGTGGCTTCACCCAGATAAGCCATGGGTTGGCTTGGGAACCCCTTGTGATGACAATGACGGAGATATCTTTGCCGGGGCTACCAAGGTCCAAGTTGGGGATGGAGCGCGTGCCAAGTTTTGGGAGTCTCCTTGGCTTGATGGGATTAGGCCCAAGGACATAGCTCCCAAAATCTATGACTTGTCGAAGAAGAAGAATTGCTCGGTTAGGTTGGCTATGCACGATAACTTCTGGACTTCCCAGGTGGACATTCTTCAAGGCATCACAGTTCAACACCTCTCTGAGTTTGTCTCCCTTTGGGAGAGGGTCTCACATGTCCACCTTGACGTCAACACGCCGGACACTATCACTTGGAAGTTCACTACTAACGGCCACTACTCGGCGGCGGCGGCCTATAAGGCGCAGTTCTATGGCCATACTGACACGGCCATGATTCCGACCATTTGGAAGATTTGGGTGCCTCCTAAATGCAAGTTCTTCGCATGACTGGCAATCAACAATAGAATTTGGACAACAGACAGGCTTCAGCGTCGTGGGTGGCCAAACTGTAACATTTGTCCACTATGCAAGCAAGTTCAGGAGTCGGCAGCCCACCTTCTATTTCAGTGCCGATACACTATCAGAGTTTGGCATATGAACAAAGATTGGCTTGGTCTCCATGATGTGCATCCTTCCGATTGGAGTGACACGACTTTCGTTAAAGAGTGGTGGAGCTACAATGCTAACAAGGCCTAATCGCGAAGGCCGCTTGCTTCCTTGATGCTGCTAATCTCTTGGGAGTAATGCAAAGAGAGGAATGCACGAGTCTTTTGTAATAATGCCGTTCTGGTGGAAGTCGTCATTGCTAGGATTAAAGAGGAGACTTCACTTTGGAGCATTGCGGGAGCAAGGCATTTGAATAACATAATGCTGCGAGAGTGATTGTTGTAATTCGGCCTTTGGCCTTAACCTCTAAAATTTCTCTCTTAATCAATGAAAATGGCAAATCTTTTGCCTAGTTTCAAAAAAAAAATAGCACTGAATTAGTTCAGTACTATTGTTTCCGGTTCCAAACACGGACAAGCAATACAACAGACTGGGAAGGGAAATAGCATGGTGCAAGCTCTGCCCCCACCCAAAACCAAGAAGCAACAAGAACACAGCACAACTGCTTCTAGCAGCAGCACATTTAACTTCAAAATGGCATAGTTCAACTACTAAATTGAGCGTCCACATATGGTTTCAAGTACCAAATCCAGATTATGTGAAACATCACATGAGATTTAGATTTTCGAGGAAATTCCTCAGAGCTCACTCAAGCAGCAGCACATTTAACTTCAACATGGCGTAGTTAAATTACTAAATGTCCACATATGGTTTCAAGTTCCGATTCCAGATTACATGAAACATCACATGAGATTTCGACGGTAGTTAATCAGAGCACACTCAAGCAGGCCCATTCTTGAATATCAGGTCACACTTCCAAGCACAGTTCTCCAGAAATTGCGGCAAGATGCCAACCTTATGCACGAGGAGATACTACAACAAATAACTCTTAATGCAAGAGTCATGGTGTGAACTCACACAGCATCGGCATTGTGCCACCCCTTTGTGCACGGAGGTATCTCCATAAATTCGTCAAACTCCTTGACGTGGATATCGCAACACTTCCACTGCAAAGAGAAAATACATGGAGGTAAGAATCAGGGTGAACATAAATGAACACAAATTTAATTAGAGAGAAAATACGTACCCCTCTATTCCTGTCATGGAAAACCGCAGGACCTGGATGGTATTCACATGCAGCATCATGGTTATCCTTCTCCTTGTAGGTTTTACCACATCCTTTATTCTTACAAACCCTAGGCTCATTTATATTAACAACTTTTTTCCTGGGCTGTGGAACTGAGCATTTTTCGACAGGTTCCGTATTTGTACCATTTACAGCAACTGGTTTTTGTGCCTTCGGCTGTGATCCTAAAAATACATTGATGAATGGTTCATACACTAAATTTTTCAACAAAAGAGAAAACATCAACCAATTTTTTGAAGTTATGCATTGTCACATTGAAGCAAAGAGTTCAAAGACACAAACTCACCATGGTCGGAGCAAAAGAAACCCTGACGGCACCTGGAGCAGGCCTCGGTTTCCACACCCTGCTTAGAAGACTGGATTGGAGCTAACTTTGGTGGGGTTGCCTTTGAGTTAAGAGAAACAGCTTTTGTGACTGGTTTCTCAGTTGTATGCTTCCCTGTGGCGCATCTACACCACGGTAGAGAATGCGGTCAGTTATGTCTAGTTTACCCAAATATAACAGGTCATGGGTGTTGATATTTAAAGCAAGGACGGTCTGGTCTAGAATGAGAGAAGGCAATGGTTAAAGCTGGAACATTGAATTACAAAAATAGTACTGTAAGAACCAAGACATAAGGCATCGTTTTCAGGTTTATTTGCCAGCAAATTGGAGCCATATCACTGGAGCTCCCTGAAAAGTGGAATAACTTTCTTTAGCCAATTCAAGCTGATCTAATAGAGGATGGTGAAGTAGCCAAAGCACTAACATACAAATATCTTCTGTACATTATGCTGCGCTTACTCAGTAAAATGAACCAACAAGATAACTGAGAACCTGTTCAGTCTAAACTCTGAACTGCAAGCATATGTTTATTCGGCCATGTAGCGCTGTAGCGCAATGGTATTGACTGGGCCAAACAAGTTAAATTACAGTACTTGCCAAAGACCAATTATAACATGACATCAAGAAGAAAACTGTACTAGACTTCGAGTGAATCCAAATAAATGCATACAGGGTTCTCCTTATCAGACAAGTAGTAGTACCTTACAGAAACAAACGACGTGGATTTAAAAAGGTATGTTGACAAGTGACCCCCCACGTTCAATCAAGCTATAAATTAGACAAGTCTGAGTCCTAGGCAATAAATGAAGAAGGAAATGAGAATGGTTGATCATAGTGCTAATCCCTAATCGGTGACCAAAGAAATCTCCAACGCCCATCTGTTCCATCACAAATCAGACATAGGTGGTGCAAATCTAACTTTCTAATTGCAATGCATAGAGAGCTGGACTCGCTAATAATTTAGATTATCTGCAAACATAATTTGTATCTATGACACCATGCATAACAAGAAATACGTAACTATTCTGCCACTGCCTGTCATGGGAGGAGAGAGGATCCATACCCAGGAATAGCCAAAAATAAGCTAAAATCATGGCTTCTTTGCTTGCAACAGCTCCACTCTTTCATGCCATCATGAAACATAGGCTGAAAATAATATATTAAAGAACCTATGGTTTATCAAAAACAGAAATAATCCCACAAGTGTAGCAAACGAACTTACTCCCTGCAACAAAACAAAAAAGGGGGAGAGCTGTTAATAGCTAAAAATATGGAAATGGATGCTGTAAATTTGTAATTTTCTGAAACACTTCACAAAAACAAAAAGGAAAGGATTTTCCCTGGTCAGAAAGATAGAAATGCATGCTAAGTTATTATCATGTCCTAATTGATTCATAACTTATTTTTCCAATATGTAACTATTCAATCTCAGATCTATAACTGGTATCCTGAACGCGCCTTATTAGTGTACTTTCAAAAATGTTTAAGATCAAATACAGTAGTTCAACTGGTGAATATCACAATCGAATTTGGGATTGCCTACAGAGTAGTGCTTATTGTTGAGCAGTTCTCGTATTTTTTGAAAAGACAAAAACAGAATTATATGAAGATTCCTTAGTGCCAGTTACTTCTTGTATTGGTATCAAACATCTGCATCAGTGAAATAGGTGTTTAAATAGCTATTTTTTCCTGGAGTAAATTTCGTACAACTACACGCTATGGGAGAGAGTCATTGAGCACCGCTTAAGAAGAATGACAAGCGTGACCAAAAATCAGTTTGGTTTCATGCCTGGGAGGTCGACCATGGAAGCCATTTTCTTGGTACGACAACTTATGGAGAGATATAGGGAGCATAAGAAGGACTTGCATATGGTGTTCATTGACTTGGAGAAGGCCTATGATAAGATACCGCAGAATGTCATGTGGTGGGCCTTGGAGAAACACAAAGTCCCAGCAAAGTACATTACCCTCATCAAGGACATGTACAATAATGTTGTGACAAGTGTTCGAACAAGTGATGTCGACACCGATGACTTCCCGGTTAAGATAGGACTGCATCAGGGGTCAGCTTTGAGCCCTTATCTTTTTGCATTGGTGATGGATGAGGTCACAAGAGGTATACAAGGAGATATCCCATGGTGTATGCTCTTTGCGGATGATGTGGTGCTAGTTGACGATAGTCGGACGGGGGTAAATAGGAAGTTAGAGTTATGGAGACAAACCTTGGAATTGAAAGGGTTTAGGCTTAGTAGAACTAAAACCGAGTACATGATGTGCGGTTTCAGTACTACTAGCTGTGAGGAGGAGGAGGTTAGCCTTGATGGCCAGGTGGTACCTCGGAAGGACACCTTTCGGTATTTGGGGTCAATGTTGCAGGAGGATGGGGGTATTGATGAAGATGTGAACCATCGAATCAAAGCCGGATGGATGAAGTGGCGCCAAGCTTCTGGCATTCTCTATGACAAGAGAGTGCCACAAAAGCTAAAAGGCAAGTTCTACAGGACGGCGGTTCGACCCGCAATGTTGTATGGCGCGGAGTGTTGGCCGACTAAAAGGCGGCATGTTCAACAGTTAGGTGTGGCGGAGATGCGTATGTTGAGATGGATGTGTGGCCACACGAGGAAGGATCGAGTCCGGAATGATGATATACGAGATAGAGTTGGGGTAGCACCAATTGAGGAGAAGCTTGTCCAACATCGTTTGAGATGGTTTGGGCATATTCAGCGCAGGCCTCCAGAAGCTCCAGTGCATAGCGGACGGCTAAAGCGTGCGGAGAATGTCAAGAGAGGGCGGGGTCGACCGATTTTGACATGGGAGGAGTCCGTTAAGAGAGACCTGAAGGATTGGAGTATCGACAAAGAGCTAGCTATGGACAGGGGTGCGTGGAAGCTTGCTATCCATGTGCCAGAGCCATGAGTTGGTTGCGAGATCTTATGGGTTTCACCTCTAGCCTACCCCAACTTGTTTGGGACTAAAGGTTTTGTTGTTGTTGTTGTTGTACATGTTCAGTGTAGAAACTATCACGAAATTACGAATTTAAATAAACTTCACACGCAGATGTATGGACCCATTGTATAATACAACTAAAGATTTGACCAACTTCAAAAAGAGAATTACTTAAAGCTTCCTTGGCACCAGTTACTTAATGCATTGGTATCAAACATTGCAGAATAACTAGAGTAACAGTGAAATAAGTGTTTAAATTGCTATTTTCCTGCAGTAAATTTAGCAAAACTACATGTTCAAAATTACGTATTTAAAGAAACTTCACACACAGATTTATGGACCATCTGTATAATAAAGCTACAGATTTGACCAACTTCAAGTAACTGCAGATTTAGTGACCAATTTGGCAATTACACCACAAAACTACATGGTGTTTGCTCGAATCTGTAGTTGTAATATCTGTTCTTCAATCTGTAGCTTAGTGATAGATCCTATATTAAACTTGTATCTTTCTGGAATTCACTCTTTCCTAGCAGATTGCTTTGTACTCCCTCCGGTCCTTTTTACCCCGCGTATTAGATTTCTGTCAAGTCAAACTCAACCAAGTTTGACCAAATTTATATTAAAAAATATAAACATGTACAGTACCAACTATATATACTATGAAACTACATTTCATAATGAATCTAACATTATTGATTTGGTATTGTTAATGTTGATACTGTTTTCTATAAGTTTGGTCAAAGTAAAGATACTTTGACTTCGGACAAATCTTATATGCAAACTAAAAAGGACCGGAGGGAGTAGAACATAAATGCAAGATCACACTTCAATCATAACATCAAACCAAGCACAGGTCCCTTCACCCCTTCCCATTTTTGTTTTGTTTAGGGTGCCAAGTTTTTATATGTCCTAAAAGGCTAAAATAAATAAGCAGGTGACCAAACTCTAAAAAAACATAATATAACATGGTCGTCAACAGGGAACTTCCAGGTCTGTCTGCAAGCCACAAAACAATGTTCCCCAAAAGTGCGCCTGCATTTACTTGTAGCCTATTTCGTCAATGAAATCAACCGCCGCTTCTCGCTGACTGAATAATGCGATTAGCTTGAACATGCTACCAATTTACCACCATATGGGTCGATTCAATGTTGATGCCAACAACATAATAAGAGTACATGCTTAGTTGACTGTCTCCAAGATTTGGGTAGATTACAATTTCTGCGACACAGCAGCTATCCCGATTGGTGCCATCCGTGGGCGTAGAGGATCTACACCTTCGACACCCGACTACACCCAGATCCTAACAGCATACGAGTACCAAAGCGAGATCCGAGAAGCGAGCTTGGGGGCTACAAGGAAGGCTTCCACCTCCATGATCTACAGGGGCTCGAAGGAGCGAGACGATGCAATTTTTTCGAGCGAGGGGATGGGGAAGAGGGAGCTTACGGAGGGGTGGTAGTGGCAGGAGCCGTCGGGGTTGTCGTCGTCAGTGAACATGGCGTCGCAGCCTATGCGCTGGCACCGCATGGGCGCGGGCGCCGGCGCGGCGGCGCTCGTCTCCGTCTCCGCCGACATCGCGATGCGTTTCTCTCTCGAGATTTCTGCCTTCTCCCCCTCTCGCTCTTGGGTGGACCCTGTTTCGGCGCACGGAAGAAAGACGACGGGGGCAGGCTGCGGCAGCCGGCAAGGTATCTCGAGTTTCTCGACTCTTCCGGACCGACCCGGAGACTAACCCCTGGCCGAAGGTGGCTTTGACCCGCAGAAAACCGCTCGCTAGTTGAGGAAACATTTTTTTTAGCATTAAAACTTTGTCCATTAAAGTCCGGGACAACGTCCCAAGTTTCAGACTTGCTAAGACTAAAGCTATACTTTGCTAAGCCATCCGCTACCATATTCGCTTCTCTACTACAATGAGTAAAACTGATGCTTTTAAATTCCATGGCCATAAGAGAGCATTCTACTACTATTGAAACATCAATTCACATGTATGTGTTTGGGTCCAATATAGCCTCCAAAGCAGTCGTACAGTCAGACTCCAAAATAAGCTTAGTGCATTCGAGGTTCGCTGCAAGGATCAGACCACAGCTGATAGCTGACAATTCCGCAAAGCTTGCACTAGACACATGCGGTATTGCACAAGTAGTTGCAGCCAAGCACAAGCACAAGTAGACACAGCTAAACACATAGGTACATTCGGAAATATTTTTGATCTATTTCAATTTTGATTTTTTTTCGTATTAATTTGGTTATCGACAAAAGAAAATACCTCCCGAACCCCAATACGAATATGACGGGGAGGGGCTCTAATGGTTCACTAGGACGAAGCCTCTTGCCCGAACGAAAACAATCTTTCCTTTTGAGACAACCAAACGAAAACATTTGATAGGAATACACGAGTATGCATTTCCTTTCTTAGACCTCATGGCCCAACACAAATTCCATTTGCACAAAAGAATCCCTCCATTGATGTTTTTTGGCACTAGTATACAAAAACAGAAATTTCGCAATGGCATACAGTAAGTATTATCATGAGTTAAAAACATCATGAGTCCTACAACTTGCTCTCAATGTTATAGTTTAGTCCTACAACTTGAAATTTGACCCTATCCAGACCTGGAACTTGCATGAGATGTGCAAATTTGGTCCTGACGAATCAAAGAGCGCCATGTGGACGTGTGGGTGCGTACCCGGTCAGCGCGTGGCATTTTGCAAAGAGGCCCCTGGCGTTGCTTCGAATCAACCCGCACTACACATGAAAACACCTGAATTAATTAAAGGAGATCACACAGCTGCCCCCCTCCCCTCGATCCAGACAACCCGCAGCTCACTCCCTCTATGTTTCTTGCTCTGCTTTCTGCTCGTCGCCGCCCAGCTAGCCGCCGCCGCCAAGCAAGCAAGCGGCCATGGTTTCATGGAGTGATTTCGGATCCAGCTCGTGCTCGTCAAGTGGCGACTCGGTCACCAGTCTGGTGAGATCCTGTCGACCTTCATCTTGCATCTAGGGTTAGGAAAAAATGGGATTTCTGACCAGATTTGGTTTTAGGGTCCTCGCACCATTGAGAGCGCCGATTGGGCGGGCCTTGCTGCAGATCTACCTGATAGGTGAGAGCACCAAGCAGTGTGTGTGAAGCTTGTTGCATTTGAGTCTGTTGACAGTGGAAGAAGATTCCTGGGTTGTGCACAAAAGGTTAGTACATGTTCTTAGTTGTAGATGTAGATGGTAGTGCTATAGTACATGTTCATAGTTGTACATGCTTTGCCCATTTGATTACATATGAGATTTAACTTGCTCAGTTGTGCCATTCTGTACCATGTTCATAGTGCTGTAAGAAGAAGATTAGTTTATTTAGTTGTCCAAATATGTAGTGTTTAAGTAGCTCATGAATGCTCAAAGGGCTCTGTGAAAAGAGAATCTGAATGTGCTGTCAGTTAAGTGAATCTTGATTCAGTTTGACTTAGTTTTGTCCAGTTAACTGAATTTTGATTCAGTGTTACTGTATTTTCTTCAGTTAATTGAATTATGCATTTCCTCTACAATTTTAGGATGGGCCTAAATGCCCCTATGTGCATTGGGTTGACCCAGAGTGGCCTCCACAATTAAGGACCAGTCTAGCTAGGATCTGGGACATGTATGAAGAGGAGGTCACATCCAGGATCAGGGAAGCTGTTGTTCAGGCTGAAGAAAATTTTAGGGTTGTGAAAGAGAAGGAACATATGGAAAAAAGACCTGAGGTTTTTTAACTTGATTTTGCCAAGATGGTGGCTGTCAAAGAGCAGACAAATACTAAATTGGGCAACACAAGGCTAGCTCTATCTGACCTAAAGGTAGAACTTGAGAAGAAGAGAATGGTTGACAAATCAGTGACCAACATTCATCAGGTGGTCAGGGAAAAGGCAGAGAAAAAGAGGGATGAGATGAAGCAAGAGAAGGACAAAATGATAGAAGAGAGGGATAAATTGAAGGAAGAAAGGGATGAGCTGAAGAAAGAGATAAAGAAGCTAGAGTATATGATTGGTGACCTGTGCAAGCATAAGGAGGACACCAGGTGCAAGATAAGGAAGGTTAGGGAGATGCTAGATGAATTTGAGTGATCCATTGGTGCTCTAATGGAATTTAGTTAATGATGATCGGTGGACTTGTTTAATTAAGTGAATTGCTGCCTAAATTTGGGTTATCTTTGATGCCCTGTATCAAGATGCACTGTACTATTTGATGCAATGACCTAATATGCACTATGTTATCTGAATTTGAGTTATCAATGTTGTGCCAGTTAAATCAGTTTTGATTTGGTTAAGTGAATTTGGATCCAGTGTACTGATTCTGATTTGCTCTGGTAGTTAACTGATCTGCTTTTCTGTTAAACTGAACTATTATTCAGTTATCTGAATCTAGATTCAGTTAAGTGAGTACTGATTTGGTTAATTGAATTTAGGTTCAGCTTACTGAATTTGGATTCAGTGTATACAATGTTAACTGAAATTTGGTTTAGTTAACTGTTTTTGCATACACTGTTTTTTGTATTCATTGTATATACTATTTTTGCATACACTGTTTTTGCATACACTGTTTTTGCGGTTAACTGAAACCTGGTATACAATGTTAACTGAATATGGTTCAGTTAACTGTTTTTAGTTCACTTAACTGAAACTTGCATACACTTCATCATGGAGCACAGAAACTTGCATACATATTCATTAAGTTTCTGCATACTTTGCATATAGTGCATCATGTAGCACATGAGAAGGAGGATCTAGCATTTGTTACATTGCATTCATCAACTGATTTCATACATGGATAGATAGAAAGATAGATCTAGGAGCACGGACACTTAACAGCTCATTCATCTGGGTACAAAATCCTACTCCGCCTCATCCTAGTGACCTGAAAAGGATGGAAATTGGCCCTCCTCCTTGCCCAATAGATGATATCATCATCATTAGGGTTTGAGCCAAGGGGGGTGCCTCCAGGAACTGCTCCATGTCCTTGCGGTTGCGTGCTACAAGGATCCGTTGAGCCAGTTGCCTTCTCTCCCTTCTTGCCTCTCTATGCCTAGCTACCCTGGGCACCTATTCTTCTTCATCGACGACCTCTCCAGGATCCATCTCTCCTAGGGTTTTCTTTGGCGACTAGGGGAGGAGAAGGGATGTGTTTGGGTTTGACTGTTGTTTGTGCCAATTGGAGGGTTGTAAGTGCATCTAGTGCCACCCCTAGTTGGTTTTGGAGTATTGACGACAAACCTAGCTGAGGGACTAATGTGTTTGTGAGAATTGCAGGATAACACAGGTAGAAGTCCCTCATTGATTTGTTTTCCTACCAGAGATGACCCCTAAAAATGAATGAAGGCATTGAAGTCAAAGGTGGTATGTGAAGACATTCACATTGAAAACTATGACAAGAGAAGACATCGCATGAAGACTATGTCTTCGAGTGAAGACTATGGAGCGCGAAGACTTAGTTGTTTCGTCATTCTTTTTCTTCTTTGTTGAGTCATAGGAACCACCGTACTGTTAAGTGGGGTCCAAGAGAACCAGTTAGAATGACTGAAGTGATGCTTAACCAAAATCCTATGTCTTCGAGTGAAGACTATGAGAGCAAATCTTGTCCAGAGTTGGATAAGTCAGCTTTGCTTGTAGCCCAGGTAAAGTTGCCGTGTGTGTTTGAAATCTGACCGTTGGAACACGTGTCAGTTCCTTAGTGACCAAGGGTCATTTCGAACAAATCAGTTCAGGTTGCCTAATGGCTATAAATAGCCCACCCCCTACAACCAAAAACGGTTGGCTGCTCAGAGTTAGAGTACGGCTTTTGTCGTTTGAGAGCAACCCACCTCGAAGCCTTTGAGAGAGAATTCCTTGCGAGGATAAATCCCTAAACACCCAGAGCCAAAGAGTGTTGGGCATCACTTAAGTCTTCCTGTCTGTGTGATCTGAAGACTTATTACACTTGAGGACTGTGAATCCTCCAGCCGGTTAGGCGTCGCGTTCTGAGCATCCAAGAGTCATTGTGGATTGCCGGTGAACGAAGTATGTGAAGGTTTGGAAGTCTACCTTGAAGACTTACCAGAGTGATTGGGCGAGGACTGGGTGTCCTTAGCTCAAGGGGAATAAGGTGAAGACGAGGTCTTCTGAGTTGAATCTCAGCCTCCCTAACCAGACGTACAGTTGTCACAGCAACTGGAACTGGTCCAACAAATCATTGTCTTCAACGAGTCACTGGTTTCATCCTTACCTTCCCTTTGCTTACTATTGGTCCTTGTGAAGTCATTGTATGATTGCATTATCTTTTGTCTTCACTAAGTGACTACTTGTTCTGATTGGCTTCACAATATCTTCCTACCTGATCCTTACTGCCTAGTTGCTATCAGTCATTGTGCTTTCACTTCGTTGAATACTTGACTATGGTTTGCCTAGTCTAGTCTACCTTCTGCTGCATGGTAATAGGTTTATTTCTATCGTTTGTCTTCGAAACTTCCATGTTTTGAAGACTTTCATAAAAATCGCCTATTCACCCCCCTCTAGTCGATCACTAGCACTTTCAAGGGTGCTTTATATAGTAGAAATGGAGGGTGGTAGGTAGG